AGAGTAAATGAGGATATCATCAATGAAGACGATAACGAACAAGTCTAAGTACTGTTTGAACACTCTATTCATCAAATCCATGAAAGCTACATGAGCATTGGTTATTCCAAACGACATAACTACAAATTCATAATGATCATACCGAGTTCTGAAGGTTGTTTTCGGAATGTCACTATCTCTGACTTTGAGTTGATAATAACCCGATCTAAGGTCTATCTTTGAGAAATAACTAGCACCCTGAAGTTCGTCAAACAAGTCATCAATCCTGGGGATGGGATACTTATTCTTGATTGTGACCTTGTTCAACTGTCTATAGTTAATGCACATTCTGAGAGAACCATCTTTCTTCTTTACGAACAATACTAGTGCACCCCATGGTGAAATACTAGGTCTGATGACACCCTTATATAGAAGGTCTTTCAACTGCTCTTTTCAATTCCTTAAGCTCTGCTGGAGCCATTCTGTAAGGAGGAATAGAAATAGGCTGGGTATCTAGAAAGAGATCAATTCCAAAGTCGATTTCGTTTCGGGAGGAACCCCAGGAAGATCTTTTGGAAATACTTCTGTAAATTCACAGACTACTGGAACTGACTCAAGAGTTGGGGTTTTAAGGCTAGAATCCTTAACCTGAACTAGATGATAGAGATAACCCTTAGATACAATCTTTTTGGCCTTAAAGGTAAGAAAAAAATCGACCCATAGGCGCTAAGCTACTACCCTTCCATTCTAAGATTGGTTCGTCTGGAAACTGAAAAAGAACAATCCTAGTTCTACAATCTACTGAGGCATAACATGAATGTAACCAACCCATGCCTAGAATGACATCGAAGTCTACCATTTCTAACTCTACTAGATCTGCTGAGGTGACTTTCTGAGATACTGTGACAACGTAATTTTTTTATACTCGTTTAGCTGTAACTGGGTCACCGACTAGAGTAGAGACCGACAAAGGTTCTGAGAGAGTTTCTAGACTAAATTTGAATTGTACTGTTATACTGAGTTATAAAAGAAAAAGTCATGTCTGTTGTCTTTCACCACTAAGTGAACCATATGTGAGTCACATCCTTGAGTTTGTAGGATGCCAATCTCACCTATCACTACAAGTTACTGACATCACACCAAATATTTTCTTGACATTATCAATGAAATTCTGTGGGTCCTTACCAACTTGGGACCCTAAAATCTTAGGCGGATTCATCCTAACAAAATCACAAACTCTGGCTTCCACTAAATGGTCATTTCTATTAGTAGGAACTAGAACCCGCTGATTGTACTAGCTGGTCATTTTCTGAGCCAAAATCTGAATTGGCGTTCTAAATTTCTCCATTTAAAATTCCTTATCTAATACTAGAGGAACTGCGTTAGCATTACGTGCATTAGCATTCCATGCCTAAGCTCAACGAGGAGGCATGATCTGAAATGTAGAACGTCAAGTTAGAATGGAATAAGATCATACCTTACGCACGGTAAGAGTAATAAAAAAGTGAAGTTTTTCCTAAAACACTTTATAGCCTCCCTAACATTAGATGTGGTGCACTTCATACCCAAGAAAAGGACTGTACTCTATGTGGCTTTTTCAGACATCTTAGGAATCTTGAACCTAGTGCTCTGATACTAAGTTTTGTCACGCCCTGAGCTACCCCTGAGATGCGAACACGGATCCTAGGACCACAAGTGATCCCAAGCTAACCCTACTGGCATGATCATGAGCATACTAAAGATAATAAACTGTTGTGGAAGCTAAATCATACATATAATGAAAAGATGGGTTATACCCATATTCTATAACTGAGATATTTGAAAACAATGAGTTAAATACAAAAGAAATCTAAACTCAATACTAAGCTGAATCTAACTATGTCTGAAAATAGACTCTAAACTAGACTAGAAATACTAGGACAAGCCCCAACTAAATCTAGTAAAAACTGAAACTAAATGACTAAAGACTTAAATGAAACTCATGACTGTTGTCCTCGGAGAATGAGGACTCACTACTGAATCTGCTGAACTGGAGATCTGGAAATCGATCTATGCGTGATCTGGATGCTGAGAACTTGAACCTACATCACGAGAAGATGTAGCGCACGTATGCGTCAGTACTTGAAAGGTACTGAGCATGTTGGAAGTGTAAAGCACAAAAACAAGTATAATAATCTGAACGTGATGTGCTAATTTCTGAACTAATTGAATGCAATGACCAATTTATAACATGATGAAACTGAATACTGAATATACTGATAAATGGTCAATATAGAGAGTCTAACTGAACTGTGGGAGCTAATAATAACCGATAATAAAACTACATGAGCTAAATGTGGAGTCCGATGTATACGCGCCATCGAGAGGACCCAATATTCCATGCCAACGGTAAAAAAGAATGCTGGGGTGATCACTAAATTTATTGCTCACAGAGGGGACTTACAACCTACTCGGCTTGTAGTTCTGGGACTATTGGGTACGCTAAACCCTAGTCCAACTTGGTATTATGCTACTCCCAATGAATTCTGTAAATTAACTGATTATATCTGAATTTTTGTAAATACTGGATAGGTCAAAACTAAACGTGCAAACTGACAATGCAACAATTAATTTGGTAATTATGCATTTATAACAGAGGTATGTATATCTGAAGTGTCTGAAATATATGACCTAGCATGTGTAATTCAAGAACAAAAGAAATACAAAGCTAGGGTTCTAAAATTCATGCGATAATCCGAGTAATAACATGATAATATGATTTGGAACATATATTTAATAAATTCATGAAGTTATATCAATGTTCTAGAAACCTTACGTTTAATCATGATAAGAGAATCAAAAACTGACTGAAACTAAGGACCCAATGGGTGAAAGGAACCTACTAGTGAAATCCCACATACATGGTTATGAAATCCATGGAAAAATACTTATGTTTCGGCGATGGAACTTCTGGAGCTTGCTGCGTTCTTGAACTAGGGTTCTTGAGCTTTTTTTCTTCTCTCTTGCTTCTAATTTTCTAAGTTTTGATTTAATAATTTGACTTTAATATGTTTCAATTATGTTTCTAGTCTTAAACTGACTAAAATCTGATGATTAAGGGTCAAAAAAATGTAACTTAGGGTTTAAATAGAGTGGGAAAGGTCAAAAAGACCCCTGGGAAGGTTGCTGTCGACCCTTACGACGGCTAGGACTGACGGTCCGTTGTGCGCCCGACGCCCTGTCGTTGGGTCCGTCATGAGGGCCTATTCGAGAGGACTTTACGAAAAATGGACATAAATTTTTACTCAAAGGTCTGATTTTAGCAAGGTAGGTGGATATGGAAAGATAATTCAATTATTGATCTATGGGTACGTCATGGGAGACCGAATGCATTTTGTGCTAAGAGTTATGATCGTTTTAAGTTGACCCAACTGTATTTTCCCTTAACTGGCTTCAGATTTTCCACCTACGGTCAGACCTATGGATCGTAGGTCCACCTACGAACCATGCTGGTCATCCATAGCTCTTTTCAGAGAGTGGTTGAAGGGAGTTTTGATCTATGGTCACGGACTACGGTTGTGCAGGACGGACCGTGGTTCAGGCTACGTTCTGTCGATGCCTCTGTTGGTAGCACTTGCAGATTTTTCTGAAAATTAATTTTTGGTCTATTTTGGCTACGAGATGTTACAAGAAACATAATAATCATAAACTCAAAGGAACTCTATTACCTAGATAATGGCATCACCATCGGAAAGTGAGGACCTACTGTACTTGGATGAATAAGAGATCCAAGCCTTCTTCAAGTCATTTTCAAAAGCAATTCAACGACCGGAACATAAAATATTGGGGAAAAAGAAGAAATGGGGTTAGTACACTATTTGTACTAAGTATAAAAGGGACATTTCATAAAGATATGAAATTTACTTCGAAAACACTTATGCATATTCAACAAGACCATTCCAAATCGATAGGACATATTCATGAAGTAATAGGCATGTACATCACAAGACCAACAACATCAAACTAGTCAAGTCAACATGCATATCATGTATTTAGACATATAGTCAAAGTAACTCTAGCATCAAGTCATAACCTCAACAAGCATGAATAAGAGTTTATTATAACATAATCTAAGCAAGAAAATTACCCATCGACCCTATCAAGTCAACAAGTGCAATGACCAAACAAAGCCCCATAACCTTACTCAATCAAGTAACCCAACAAGAATCATGACCAACCTCCTACTTTACATAACATAACATTTAAGAGTACATTTCATCATACTGTAACAATGTAGATCAACACATATTCATAAGTGACAACAATCAACATATAATATCCACAATGTGCAAGTTCATCATATTCATACATAGTAACAACCTCCTAAAGTTCCCTTCGAGTCAAACTAGTGCAAGGCATAGGTAGAGTCCCACACCCTACCTAGGCTAAGTCAACCTATAACAACCTGTCTTAAGCATATGCTTGTTCTATTCTTATGATAATGCTGACCTTATAATATAGGTGAGGGACCATATTCCTTATATGATTAGTGTTGGTTCAAAATAGCCAGAAAGTGATGTATCATGCCATGCACGTTTCAGCATGCTTACTGTAAGTTGACTCCGCCGGATGTATTTAAACTAGAAATAGCAAGGTGATAATTGAGCTTAAATTTGAAAGTTAATTTCTAAGTTGAAGAAAAAGGCTTTAATATTCATACAATGTAATAAAATAATTTAGCTACTTGCTTGGCTTTATCTACTTGAGCTATATGGATATTGTTAAAGGGCCCAAGCTTGATGGACCAGATTTAGGATTATAGTAATGGGCTCACTTGAAGCCCAAACCTATTAAAAGAAAATAAAAATGAAAGACAGCCAACAATCAAATCTGCAAAGGCCTAATATAGATAAATCCCAAGTGAAAGCAACTAGGTGCATCACCTAGTTTGACCTTTTGAGATGCTTGATGTGCATAAGAAGGTGCATCACCTACTTGACCAATAAGTGACTGAAAATGGACCCCCGAAAAAGGAGGTTCTATAGGATATATTTATGGTCAATAAAGCTCCATATATATCCAATATAAGCAGATATTCTTCACCCATTTTAACACATAATATTGAGAATTATCTCCACCTCTCTATCTTTTCTCTTCAAGATTAAAACAACAATTTTTAGTTGTTCTAGGGTTCTTAAAAAACCCTCATATCTGCAAACCTAGGTAAGTGAAAACACTTAGATTTTTCTTAATTCTCCCATGAATAATTAGAAAAACATGTTATTCATGCTCAAGTCTAAATACAAAAGCAGAAAATTTCAAGCTAATGCTCACTTCCTTAGTTATTAAGAGACCTTTTTCTTCTTCTTTGGTTTAAGTGTGAAGGGAAGCTGAAGTTCTAGAAAAATTCAAGTTATAAGGAGAAGTTGCAGAATTTGAGATTAAAATCAAAAGGGGGAGGCTGAATTGTGATAGTTATATCGGTTAGAGGATAAGGTATGTAAGGCTATTTGATTCTATATTCCTTTGGCATGAAATCTGATACTTGCAATTTATACCAATGAAGTGAATCTCAAAAGTTCTATTCCTAGAAAAAGAAACATAGTGGAGTGTACTTTCTCTAAATAGCTAACAATATTTCCCTCTCTCTGTTGTGCATAGAACTACTTCATTATATGTTCACTATTTTATACTTGTGTAATTATCCCCCCCATGTGCTGGTATAGAAATGGTATTTTCAATAGCAAGTCTGGTAAATCCTCCTCTTTGTTGTTTGAAGTCAAAATGTGTCATTAAGCTTTTATAGTAATGTGTTGATGATACTAGGCTCCTTATGTCATTGTTATTGCCTTGAATTATTATTTTCATGTCTTCTATTACTGGTCCGTACTTCCATATTTCCAAAATGTATATGACCACCAGAATAACATCTAAAAAGAGTTATGATAATCCAAAGAACAATCCCAAAAGAGTAATGAACTGATAGACAAGAATCTCAATGATTAAGAATCTAAGTGAAGAGATCTATAATAACGGGTGGCAGCCCAGGGGAGAAAGCCTAGCATGGGCCGATCCCAACTGGTACATAAGGGTGGCAGCTCAAAAGTGAAATCCTAGCATGAGCCAATCCCAAATTGTGTAATTGTGAGGACCGCATCCTAGGGTTTAATATGCCTAGCATGGGTCATCCTCTTCTACCATTGATCAGATGGTCACTTTTATCGCATGCCCTCCAAAGATTATAACGTACAGAAAATTAAAGAAAATAATGTAACTTACATGATCTCACAAGAGTAAGAAAAGGTGGTCTTCTCTCCTAATCTATGCACACATTAGTTGATACTTGATTTCATTTGAGCCTCATATTGCATATGCTATATTGCCTTACATATTCAGTATATTTTTTTTGTACTAACGTCCCTCGCAGGAGACATTGTATTTCATGCTGCAGGCACATGTACTCCATCTGTAGACCTCCTTTGTAGGAGCATTCAACACTAAGATACTTTTGGTGAGCTCCGGGTTTATTCGGAGCTTTACTGAGTCATTGGTAAATTTATTTTGGTATTGTATCATAGTGTATTCTATCTTTTTAGAGGCTTTGTAGACACATGTACATGGTTCAATTGTATATTTTTGCCTTTGATTGTAAGATCCCGTCTCACCAAGTGAGGTTCAAGGACAAAGATATACCCAAGATAGCTTTTTGAACATAGTATGGTCATTTTGAGTTCTTAGTCATGTCATTCGGGCTAACAAATGCACCAGCAACATTTATGGATTTGATGAATAGGCTGTTCAAGCCATTTTTAGATGTGTTAGTGATACTATTCATAGATGACATTTTTGTGTATTCAAGATCGGAAGAGGATCATGCTAATCATTTGTGGCACATTTTACAAATTCTTCGTGATCGTAAATTGTATGCAAAGTTCTCAAAATGTTAGTTCTGGTTGAAATCTGTGGCATTCTTATGTCATATTGTATCTAATGAAGGAATAAGGGTTGATAACCAGAAGATAAAAGCCGTCAAAAATTGGCCATGACCTACAACGCCTACTGAGATCCGTAGTTTTCTTGGATTGGCAGGTTATTACAGAAGGTTCGTTGAAGGATTCTTTTCCATTGCTGCACCCTTAACAAAGCTAACACACAAAGAAACCAAGTTTCAGTGGAGTGATTTATGTGAAATAAGCTTCCAAGAGCTGAAGAGTAAATTAACTTCTACACGTGTATTTGTACTTCGAGAAGGCATGAAAGGCTATGTAGTGTATTGTGATTCTTCTGGAGTCGGCTTAAGTTGTGTATTGATGCAAAATGGTAAAGTTATAGGTTATGGATCAAAGCAGCTGGGACCACATGAGAAAAATAATCCAACCCATGTTTTAGAGATAGAAGCAGTTGTGTTTGCTTTGAAGATATGGCGCCACTACTTCTATGGAGTTCTTGTTGACATATGTACAGATCACAAGAGTTTGCAATATATATTTAAGCAAAAGGACTTAAATATGAGGCCGCGAAGGTGGATGGAGGTATTAAAAGATTATCACATTGATATCTTGTATCATCCCGGTAAAGCAAATGTAGTAGCTGATATTTTAATCCGCAAAATACTAGCAAGTACTTATGGAGAGTATGTGGAACGGGAAGGAATAACTAAGGATCTATGCCAACTATATAGATTGAGGGTTCACCTTCTTGAATCTCAATACGAAGGGGTTATTGTGCAAAATGGGCAGAATCTCATTAGTAGTGGAAGTGAAAGAGAAGCAGCACATTATTCCTATTCTTTTACAACTTAAGGAGAATGTAAAACATGGTATGACAAAGGCATTTGACCTTATGCAAGAGGGAGTACTTCGATGTCAAAACAGATTGTGTGTATCTAACGTAGATGAACTAAGAAAGAGGATCATGATGGAAGCACATCATTCAAGATACTCTGTTCATCCGGGGTCAACTAACATGTATCTTGACTTGAAAGAAATGTATTGGTGGGGGGACATGAAGAGGAGCATTGCAGAATTCGTGGCTTAACCTCCAAATTGTTTGCAGGTAAAAGTAGATCACCAGAGGCTTGGAGGTTATATGCAACATATAGAACTTCCTATATGGAAATGGGACATGATAAACATGGATTTTGTCACTGGTTGTCCTTGCTCAATCCTGCAATTTGACTCCATATGGGCAATAGTTGACATACTCACTAAACCAGCACACCCTTTGCCGGTGAAGACTACTTATAGAGCTGAAGAATATGTGAGGTTGTACATTAAAGAGATAGTTCAACTACATGGAGTGCCAATATCTATAATATCTGATAGGTGAAGCTTAGTTCACCACAAATTTTTGGAAGTTTTTTCATAAGAGTTAGGGAACACAAGTGAATTTAAATACAACCTTTTACCCTCAAACGGATGGCCAGGCAGAACGTACAAATCAAACACTTGAGGATATGCTGCGAGCTTGTACATGATATTTCAAGGTTAGGTGGGATGATCACCTACCACTTATTGAATTTGCTTATAACAATTGCTACCATTAAAGCATTAAAATGACACCTTATGAAGCCTTATATGGTCGAAAGTGTAGATCACCAATTTATAGTTCGAAACAGGTGAAACAACCTTATTTAGGTCCTTTTTGAGGGCCTCTTGGGGGTCCCTTGGGGAGTTGTACCCTGACGTTTCTGACGTAAATATGAACATTAACAAGTCAAGGACCTTACACATCAGTTTCATCGAAACAATTACACGTAACACGTCCAAATATGTTGTGCTTGTCTTAGACGTTCTTGGTCGTTTGACCTCTAAACTTCATGAAACCCACCATACTGCCTAAAAACATCATTTTTAATCATATAAGGACCGCAGAAGCTCATGACACACACATCAGCACATAAATATGCATAAGGCCCCTTAGTGACTAGTCGTCGAACGTCTTAGTCATCTCTTGACGTTTGACTTGCAAATGGGCGGCCAGATATTTTAATGGTGGTTCTTCTAAGAGTAGGCTTGAGATTCAAGACAAGACTAGGTTCAAGAAGACGGTGTCCAATAATGTTCCTTCCAGGTTCCCTAAGACTCGTGATGATAAGGTGTCTTACCCTAAGCCTAAAAGGGAAAGGGTACTAGTTCACCAACCGACAAGTCAACCTGTAGAATGTGTAGCAAGAATCACTATGTGATTGCCTTAAAGGAATGGATAATTGTTTTAGTTGTGTTAAAAGTGGGCACAAGGTTAGGGATTGCCCTAATGTGAGGGGCAAGACAAGGTTAGTGGTCAAGTTAAAGCTAGTGGTTCAAATGAGGCTCTAAAAAAGAATCGCTTCTATGCTCTCCTCTCTAGGGGTGAGCAACAGACTTCTCCCGACGTGGTGATCGGTATGTTGAACGTCTTATAGATTGATGTATATGCTTTACTTGACCCGGGCGCGACATTATCTTTTGCTACTCTCTTGATAGCTAAGAAGTTTGAAATATTACCAGACATTCTAAATGAACTTTTGATGGTGTCTACCCTGGTGAGTGAGTCGGATATTGCAAAAAGAGTATATAGGAATTGTCCTACAATGTTGCCCAATAGAGTTATTTACGTTGAACTAGTAGAACGTGATATGTTTGATTTTTTGATGTCATATTGGGTATGGACTAGTTGAATGCTTTCTTTGGCTCTATAGCTTGTAGATTAAGGGTGGTGAAGTTTAAGTTTCCAAATGATCCCATTTTAAAAATGGAAGGGGGAAAATTATATTCTTAAAGGTCGTATCATCTCTTGTTTGAAAGCTTGTAAAATGATCTCTAAAGGGTGTTTATACCATATAGTAAGGTTCAAAGATTTAGACTCTAAATTTCTCCCATTGAGTCGGTCCTCCTAGTGAGGGATTTCCAGAGGTCTTTCCTAATCATCTTCTTGGTATTCCTCCCAAGCAGGAAATTGATTTTGGTATCGTCTTCTTACCGGATACAAATCCCATTTCAATTCCTCCTTATCGGATGGCTCCAGCCGAATTGAAAGAGTTGAAGGCTCAACTCAAGGACTTACTTAATAGACAAGGGTTTCATTTGACCTAGTATTCCATGGGGTGCTCCGATTTTATTTGTGAAGAAGAAGGATGGGTCCCTTAGAATGTGCATTGATTATCGCCAACTCATTAAAGACACTACTAAGAACTAGTATTCTCTCCCTTGGATTGACGACTTGTTTGAAAAACTCTAAGGGGAAAGCTACTTTTCTAATATTGACTTGAGGTTGGGGTATCATTAACTTAGGGTGAGAGGTGCGAATATAGCAAGGACGACATTTCCGACTAGATATGGTTACTATGAGTTATTAGTAATGTCCTTTGGTCTCACAAATGCCCCGACAACGTTTATGGATCTCAATATTACCTAGCTTCATTTGTCATTATTTTCATTGACGACATCTTGGTATATTCGAAAAATGAGGGTGATTATGAAACATTTAGGGTGGTGTTACAAGTGCTTAAGGAGAATCAATTATTTTCTAAGTATAGAAAGTGGAATTTTGGCTGGGTCGAGATGTTTTTTTGCTTATATCATCTCTAATGAGGAATTTGAAGTTGATCCTAAACCGAGGCGGTCAAGAATTGACGTAGACCATTGACTCCAATAATTATTAGGAGTTTCTTGGGTCTAGTGGGTTATTATCGAAGGTTTGGGGATAGTTTTGTGTCCATAGCATCTCCCTTGACTACTTTAACCCAAAAGAGTAAGAAGTTAGACTGGTCGGAGGCATATGAAAAGAGCTTCCAAATATTAAAATATAGGCTTACTTCTGCTCTAGTATTGACCCTACCGGAGGATACAAAAGATTTTGTGGTATATTGTGATGCATTCCGAGTCACGAGTTGGGGTGTGTTCTCATGCAACATGGGAAGGTTAGCCTATGCCTCTAGGAAACTCAAGGTGCATGAGAGAAATTATTCTACTCATGACCTTGAATTAGCGCGATGGTATTTGCTTTAAAGATTTTGAGGCATTACTTGTATGGGGTCCATATGGATGTTTATACGGACAATTATAAGTCTTCATTATGTATTCACCCAAAAAGAGTTGAATCTCCAGCAAAGGAGATGTCTAGAGTTGTTGAAAAACTATGACATGGGTGTCCTCTATCATCTCGATAAGTATAATGTAGTAAAAGATGTCCATAGATTGGCTCGTTTAGGGGTTCGGATTGAAGATTCTCGCATAGGTTGTGTGGTGGTACGTCATAACTCCGAGTCATCTTTGGTGTTTGAGTTGAAGTCCAAGAAACACTTTGATCAAGCATTGATGGAGTTAAAGGAATTGGTTCTTAGTAAACTCAATGAGTCATTCTCCTTAGGGAGATGGTGTCTTGAGGTACCAAGGAAGGTTATTGTGTTCCCAATATAGATGGTTTCAGGAATTGGACCCTTAAGGAAGTTTGGATCTCGTTACTCTATTCATTTGGGTTCGACTAAGATGTACCTGACCATAGGGAAGTGTTTTGGTAGGAAGGTTTAAAGAAGGACATAGCAGAATTTATTTATAAGTGTCCAAATTGCCAATAAGTGAAAGCAGGGTGGCTTACTACAAAAAATCTGAGTTCCTACTTGGAAGTGGGAAGACATCAATATGGATTCTGTGGTAGGTTTGCCTTGGACATAAAAGCAATATCTCTGTATGGGTGATTAGGGATAGGTTGACCAATTCCGCTCATTTTATTCCCATCAAGGCTATTTACTCGGCGGAAGA